CACGGACTTTACTCCCAAGGGGGCATCTGGCGCCATGAGGAAAACCCGAGCCACACTTCCACCAGCTCCGCTAAATGATGAAACGTACACAGTTGTTTAAAACCCACAGTTAGGGACCTGCTTGAGGTTACGTGCCGCTGCCACGCGTCCACAGACAGCAACACGACCCCGCGTGTTCCCGCACAAAGACCACGTTTGGTCTGCTGGACACCACAATGTTAGAGGGGCGCGCAGAGTGGAGTATCTCTCTCCATGGCCCCAGGAAGCCCCTTGGGCTTTCCATCGAGGGACAAGTCCTCGCTGGCCGTAAAAGCTGACGGCTCTCTGCACACATGCTGGGCAGGTGCACCGGTCGTGGCCCCGCGGCGTGGGGGGCGCAGCTGGTGCTGGCAGAAGCCTGTGTGCTCTGCAGACCCACTGCTTGGACGCAGCGGCAAGAGGAGGGGCAGCCTGTGAGACACGAGTCCACGTCCTGTGCAGGTCGGCCACGCTGGCCACGGCCGGCCACGGCTGGACAGGGTGGGGCTCAGACCTGCATTTTACCTCCCTTGATGTGGTTCTCAGCTGCGTGGCCGTGGGCTCTGGGGATCCTGACGCTCACACTCAGACGCCCCCGCACGCTTGCCATCAAGTATGAACGTCGTCCGGGAACACCCATCTGTCTCTTCCGTGGAAATCCTGGCTTTCCGGGTGAACAGCCCTGTCCTGCGAGTAGGAGGCAACGCCCACTAGGACGACTCAAGTAAGAACCTCTAGGCCAGACCCCGGAGTGATGGAAACGAGCTGGGAGCACACACGCCCACCTTCGAACCCCAGGACGGTTTCTGGGGGTGCCGGAACCCTCGCTCCTGGGCCACGAGCTGCGTGAAACAATGAGTCACCACGGTGGCCACGGTCCCTGCCGGCTTCCCTGCTATGTCCATGCCCTCGGGCTTCTGCCCTCACGTGGCAGCAAATACCATGTTCTGTGGGGGCCCAGGTAAGCCGAGAAGCCAGGTGCCAGGGAGACACTGGCACCCCAGGGCGCAGCCACACTACCTGCACCCAAGGCCAGACCCCTCGCTGACCACACCTGCGCCTGTGGCCAGGACCCACGCCCCAGCCCCCCCATGCCGCTCACATGGCCGGGAGCCCCCCCCCACGTCCCACAGAGGGTCTATAGCCAATTCCACCATCGCCAGAAAGGGCCTCACTGCCCCTTGACAGTGACCGGGAACCAAAGAGACAGCACACGCTGCGGACCCGACATGCTGCTTCCAACTTCACGAGACCTCCCCTGGGTTTCTGGTTTCAGCGACCTTTGAATTATTCACACACATGAGCCTCCTGTGAGGTGGGTTGGATGTTGTCAAGCACTTGTTTGGGTGACTCAGTAAGCAGAGCTTGGTGGTTTGACCCCGGGTCAGAGATCAGCAATGTCCCCCAGGTCACTGCTTGGGCCCCTGCAGGGCTGGTGGGAACAGGGGACCCTGCTCTGGGGATGGGGCCCAGGGAAACCAGAACCAGCAGAGCGCTGGTGGCAACAAGGTTGGCCCCGGCGAGGGGACCCTGTGGCAAGAGGCCGTGGCGTGACGGCAGCAAACCTGGAGGAGGATCGGCCTTCCCGCACCCCACACCCCCCGAAAGGTGAGGCCCACAGCAGGCCTGCCCTCCCCGCCCAGGACCCAGAGGCTGGGCCTCTGAGAACCCAGGAGGCCTTGCTCTCAGGCACACCAAGCTGCCGGCCCCTGGACAGGCGCAGACTGACCTCCTGGGCTTGGGACGACACCCAGGGTGCAGGGTGGGCAGCCTAGAGGGCCCAGGAGCACGGACCGCTGTCATCCTTCCCGACTATGGGTATGAACACGGGAGCTCAGAAGAAACAATGCGGGCCGGGGCCCCACAGGCCCGCTCCAGCACCCGCCCGCTGAGACTCTCTCAGGCCGCACACGGAAGCGTGCAGGAACCACAAGAACACTGAAAGGCCTTCCCCACCCCGCAGCCCTGCTCTGACTGTGTCTGAGAGGATGCCGCACGTGTCGCCGTGTGTCCTGGATACAGGCTGCGCAGCTCCTTCCTGCGGTCACTGACGCTCCGGAAAAGGAGCAGGTCCTCCCTCTGGGGCCCAGCGGGAGCACCTCCGTCTGCAGAACACGACTGCTGTGATGGAGATGCCTGGGGTCGAAAGTCTGGTTAACGGCGGCAGGTGTGGGTACCACGTGTTTTTATCAGGCTCCCCGGTGCCTGCGACGGCTTCCGTCTGTCCGGACCAGAGCCCACCTGCCGCAGACCCACCAGCCGCAGGGCAGCTGGTGGGCTACGTGGCTTCGCAGGAACTCCCTGGCGTGGCCCAGCTCCTGCAGAGGCAGCAGCGGGCGTGGCGCAGGAGACCGCGTCAGAGGATACGCGAAAATAGCTCAGCACAGGATAAAACCTTGTGGTTAGTGTGCTCTTGCGGCAACGGGAGGCTTTTCTATTTTCATTTGCTTTATAATTGTGTGCAATTTCTATTTTTATCCAATTTGTGGTCCACCAACTGAAAAAGAAAGCAAACCCCCAAAAGCCCCTCTTCGTAACTGCTTACCTTACCCCTGCACGGATACACACTCACTGCTGCGGGCCCGTCAGAAAGCCCCAGATTACTAATTTCCCAGGAGAAGTGCTGCCAGCGCCTGGCGTTTTCTGTTGAGCACCATTTACTGTTTGCATTTCACCTGCAAGGTTACGGGGGTTCACCCCCTTTAAACACACAACCAGCCCTTCCATCTGCCTTCACTTAATCTGAAATAATTTGCAACGTATTTCAAATACTGTTTCAAGTTGTTAATTTCTCCAAAATGTCTCAATTCTCCCCGTAATGTCTACACTGACAGATGAACATCATTCTGAGGCTGGGGCGGTGGGGGGGGTGGTTTCCAGTAAGGTGTGAGCGGCAACAGCAGCCCCCGGGGCCAAGGGGCTGCCTTCCCTAGTCCTCCAGGAGTCCTCCCTCGAGGGAGCCCAGAGGCGGTCCCCAAGGAGTCCGGAGCTTTGCATTTCAAAACAAAAGGTAATGTTTGCAGGCGGCTCCCCCCAGGGCAGGACCCAGGCCCCTTGCTGCTGCAATTTCAAGAAATGCAACCACTGGCCATTATTCCTCTGCTGCCCAATTCTCTCTTCTCCCAGAGCTGCTTTATTCCCACGCGCACCGGCCCACTCTGCTCCGAGCAGCAGCAGCGGGAAAGGGAGTTAAGTGTCCAGTCACGGAGCTCGGCTAACGCGGCATTGCCCGTCCTCCGTCCTCCAGGGAGGTGAGGCTGAATACGTCCAGCCGGCTGCCGTGTGCGGACGGTCCCCGGCCAAGCAAGCAGCGCTAACTGGCACCGAGCACGCGGCCACAAACGCCGCCCCACGCCCTCCCAGCAATCCCACGCTGCTGACTGCCGCCTGGGCAGACGGCTCTCTCGCTGGGGCTCCATCCCTGGCAGGATTTCTTCTTATCTAAATGGCATAAAATAAAGACACAGGTGCCCTGCTGAGCACCCTTCTACCCGCCTCATTCCCCCAATGACAGGTTGGGGCCCACGGGTCGGCGGGGGCATGGGGGGGACAAACTTGCCCCGTCTACCACCTGGAGCTCTGGGCAGGAGAGTAAAGCCGTCCGCACGTAGCCATCGAGAGTCCCGCCACTGGGCTGGCCAGGAGGGTCAAAGCTTGTCGGCAACGTGTCAAAGTCCACTGACGTCCACACAGCAGCCAAGCTCCGTGCCCACACGTCCTCCCCGGGGTGAAGGGTGACACCTTTGGGCAGTGGACACTACCTGTGTCTTGGCTACCAAGGGGTCCCCAGGCGTCCAATGACAAATGTTCCAACTCGAAAGCCAAGAACCTTATTCCCCTCCAAGTGTCTGGGGTGGGAGATCTGCTCCCGGAATCACCCCCTGCATGTGGAAAGGAGACCCCAGCCCAATCCCCACTGCGTGTGGCTTCTCTTCCCTTGGATGCTCCCCGATGCCCGGAGCCTCCCGGCAGGTCCTCTATCCCTCCCACGTCCTGTTTGAGGAATCCCAAAGCAGGGAAAAGGACAGACGCCACGCTGGGAAGCCGACGGGACCAGCCCATGGGCCCACCCAGGAGCTCCGGCCCCGTGGTCTGTGTGGGGCAGAGAGCGCTCCTGGGCCAGGGGCCACACCGGGAAAACTCCACCTTCTCCAAGGAAGGAGTCTTTAAATCAACCTTCCACACCGAAGGGGGGGTCGCGTCCACGGAACTCCCGCAAACGCTGGCCAACGCTCTTCGGAACTGGCTGTTAGGAGACCCCTGGGATGCGGGGCGGCTGACGGCCACCCCAGGCTGAGCAGAGGAGGGGAGGGGAAAACACGGGCGAGACCCTGGGCAACGAGCTCTGTGAAGCCACGTGGGCGGCCCTCCTTGCCTCTGACGACACGTATCTCCTCAAAAATAAAACATCTTCGTTTCAAGGTTATATTTATTTTCTTTTAAAACTGCTATTCCAGAACACCTTAAAAAAAGGAAAAAACCCCAAGGCTGAGTCTCCTAAGACTGGTGGAAGGTGCCCCCATCCACATGGCCCACCCGCGCTACCAGGGACGTGAGGCAGACCCTCGGGTTGTTTCCCAGCTGTCCCATCCCGTCTGAACCAGACTGCCCCGGGGGATACGAGGCACAGGCAGTGTCTGTGTGGACGCGGCAACAGCACACCCTCAGCCACCCACACGAGGCCCAGGCCACGGCCCCACCGACCATGGCCTGGCGCGCGGACTCCCCCCTGCGGGCTTTGGGACTCACTGGAGAGGCTTCCCGTTTTCACACAAAGCTAAGGGTCCGTGACGGCAGCTACAGGGTCCCCATGCTCCGCCACCGCGCACGGAGAAGCACAGACCACGGGGGCCCACGCCGCGGAGCTCACACGCCTGGCCGAGGACGGGAGAAGCCACGCCGGCTGCTGCCACGGGGGGCCGCTCCGGCCACAGCTCCCGCCTCTGGGCTCGGGCACGTCCCCCAGGGAAAGACCCCGGTACCTGCACGCTGGGGTGTCCTCCGGCCGACGCCTTCACGGCCCCCCGGCTCCCCTCTGTCTCGTAGTGGGCTCTGTGGTGGGGCTTGGGTTGCACCTCGATCCTCAGCTCGTAGGGTCCCGAGCGCGACGGCAGCTGCCAGTCCAGGGCCGGGAGCGTCGGGCTGAAAGGGACACACAGGGCATTGCAGACGGCGCCGAGCGCGGCCCCAGCACCACACCCCGGTAACGTCCCTGTCAGGAGGACAAGGTAGAGCCACCGGCTACGGGAGGAGGATGACGCCACGGCCGGTCTGGTCTCCGGGACGACGTTCTGGAACAAGAAGGGAGGGAAACACCCTCCACGCGTGACCCTTCCCTCGTGATAACGCTAATTATGAACCTCCTTGTCAGACGGGTTCCAGAGCTGAAGACCTTTCCAAAACCACCAAAGTAAGAGCCTGTCCTGAGAGCCAGGAGCCCCGCCCCAATGCCCCCGTGTGCAGGACCTCACGGTCTGGACTCGGCTGGTCCCTTCTGCACGGTGTGACCCCAGCCCCTCAGCCCCGCAATCCGTGCACGACACAGGACAATTCTAGTCAAGACCACGAGGACATGGGGAAACCACGGTGCCACACACTGTCACCCGTGTGAGCTGCTTTATCGTCCTGGTGCTGGGGAGGGGACAGGGATGGTGTGTGGCAGGTGCCAGTGCCTGTGTGACGAGCCCATAGGAAGCACACCGGCCTGTAGCGGCACAGACGATGAACGTGAGATTTTGCAAAAGGAGGCGCCCGGCCACTTGAATCCAGGTCCCGCTCTCCCTACAGAGGATGCCTCTGGGTCTCACCCTGTAAACCGGTAACGGTCAGCCATAAGGAGCTGCAACTGTGATGTCCCCACAGGACCGGGGTCTGGCCCAGCGGCCGCCTCTCTCCCCAGAGCCCGTGTCTACGCTCGGCCATCCTGCCTGCCATGCCCGTTTTTGATTCGGTTTCAATGAGATGAAACCTGAGGCCCGGGGTCTGGCTAGCATGTTTCTCACTGTGTAGACAAATGTCAGGGATCCCTAGAGAAATTGACCCAGCGCCGCGACCAATTAAAAGTGGGACAAAGGGGCGCCTGGGTGGCTCAGTGGGTTAAAGCCTCTGCCTTCAGCTCAGGTCATGATCTCAGGGTCCTGGGATCGAGTCCCGCCTCGGGCTCTCTGCTCGGTGGGGAGCCTGCTTCCACCTCTCTCTCTGTCTGCCTCTCTGCCTACTTGTGATCTCTCTCTCTGTCAAATAAATAAATAAAATCTTTAAAAAAAAATTAAAAAATTTAAAAATTAAAAAAAAAAAAGTGAGACAAAGACACGTGTGTGTGGAGAACCCGCGTCTGCCCAGGACAGGGCCAAAGTCTGCGGGAAACACCAGGGTCCTGAGCAACTTACGGAGCCGCCCAACGGGACTTCCTGACGACGGGAAAGCCACAGTGCGGTCGCGGGCATTTCCCAGACGCAGTATCAGCCACTCGCCCGACTTCCGGGGACACTGCCACGCGGAAGGAGAAGGGCCTTTGGGAGCCTCGGGAGGGGACGTGGTGGTCAGAGACCGGGCACAGGACGCCTGCCCGCGGCCAGTCGGAGCACCCCCGGCCCTGGCCCCGAGCTGCGCGATCTCACGCACGCTGTCTGCCTCGGCCAAGACCGTCCGACGCTGTCCGCGGCGAAGACAAAAAAGCTTAAGTCTGTCCACCTCCTGAGAGAGAAAGAGCTGAAGACGGGGTGGCAACCAGTCCCCAAAGTTTGGGTGAAGGGCACGTGCCGTGAACATGACGGAGGACGACGTCCACGGCGCTGACGAGCCTCGGGCCTCGGGTGGAGTCTGCACACCCTGTGCGTGCCCCGACCGTGCAGTGACAGGCGATGGAAGCGGCCGTTCGAGTGAATTCAGCGGCTGGGAGGCGAGGCCCGAGCCTGGAGAGACGGGAGGCCCCACGGCCTCGGCCTGCGCCCCCGCAGAGGAGCACCTGTGGATGCTGTGGCCTCAGCCCAGCTCCGGGCTTTCTGCTGAGCGCCACGGAGCGGCGCGTACCCGGGGCCCCCGCGGGTGACGTGGCTCTTCCAGAAGCCACACGGTCAGCGCAAACAGGAAACCTCGGGCCGCGGACCACGGACACCATCTGCCGTGGCCCACGCGTGCACACTCCTGTGTCTCCACAGCCGGGCGTGCGTGCGTGAGCGTTCTCACGGGAAAGGGACACATTGTGACAAAACGGCATGCAGGACTGGATACCCCCGCTTTTTCTTAAACTGAAGACGTCTCCAGCATCCGAGCGTTTAGTTAAAACGACACGACATCACGACACCCTCCCGCGGTCACTGATCAGCACCGCGCCGGCCGCTGCGAGAGGTGAAGGTCCCGAGTGAGGTCTGGGCCACCTCCGGCCACTGCTGCAGCCCAGACACGGGCTCCGTCCAAGAGGCCACGCACTCGAGGCTCCCCACATGTCTGTAGACGGCAGCCGGGGACGCTGGGGCCCCCCGGGACCTCGCGGATGCCACTTCTCCGCAGGTGCAAGCCGCGGGAGCAAAACCACCCCCTGAGCTCTGGCAACGCCTCCGAAGCACCGCGAAACCTCCAGCCCGGCCCCGAGAGCCGGCTCCCGCCCGGCTGACCGCCAGCGTCCTTGGGGTCGCCCGCCGCCACAGACCGTACTCACCCTTCCCGGCCCGCTCGGCACGCGCGTCTCACAGGTAACGATTTACGCTTTCTCGGGCGGTGGGACGTGGTCTTGGGAACTCCGTGTGGAACACTAGCTCACAGCACGTGACCCAGGAAGAGCGCTCGGCGGGGCGACAGGAGCCGGCCTGAGTGCCTTAACTCGAGGCGCCAACGCATCTCATCCCCAAAGCCAACGGGCCCAGGTGCAGCCACCGGGCCTGGCACAGAGGGGCCTCTGGGAGGTCTGCAGCCACGAAGGCGCACATCCCACGGACACCCTCCTGGGTTTTCTTCTAGAAGCATCTGTTCCAGAAAAAGCCGAGCAGCCCCTACAAGCCACACGGTTTCCCTGAATTCTGGAACGGTTGATGCCTGTAACAAGACGAGCACGGTGCCGTCTCGCTCAGCAGCACGGAAGGTCACTGAGGGGCAGAGCAGAGACCCAAGTGCCCTCTTGTCCCCCAGAACCCACCAGGGTCCAGGCACTCACGTGGCAGACAGGCTTGGGGATGGCAGCTGAGGGGGAGCTCGGCAACTTTCTGTGAATCTGGAATTCTTACGAAACCCAGAGTTTTGGAGATGCCTGTTCCTGTGGCCTGGCCAGCTCGGGCGATCTCCGGTTGTGAGGTCGAGCCCCAGCCAGAGTCTGCAGTCCGCGTGGGAGGGTCCTTCAGAGTCTCTCCCTCTGCCTCCGCCACCCCCCCAAATAATAGAAGAAATAAATTAATTTTTAAAATCCTCATCCTCGTGCTTGGGAAACAGAAGCTCAAGCCCTGTGCCCATTAACTATTGTCACCACCCCCAGAAGAGGGCAGTGAGCTAGGGTCGCCCATGGGCCCCTGCCTCCCACCCTGAGTCAGTGCTGAGGGCCCGCTGGGTGCGGCCCCGGACACAGCATCACTCCCCACCTGGGGTAGGGTCTCCCGCGCCAGTCGCCCACCCTCCCCTTCCGCCGGGAGTTCTCGGCCCTGCAGGTGGGAGACCCGGCTGACCCTGCCCTGTGTGCTGGGGCGCCCGTGGGACAGCACGAGGGGAGCGGGTCACAGTCTCCCCTGCGCCTCTTCTGTGTGTGGGCGAGGCCTCCTGCGGGGAGAAGGGGCCCCACACTCCCAGTCTGAATCAGCCCTGCCCGCAGAGCCGCTGGCACAGCCCATTTCCCACGAGAAAAGCCTTTCAACTTCTGCTGAGCCTCTGTGCTCCCTCCCCATAGGAAAGCACGAAGGGATTTTTTTTAAACGCTCAGTGCACGGCACCTCGACACCGATGTGCTGTGATCTGAAGTAGAAAACACCTAGAGTTCCGCCCCTCTTGGCCCCGCCAGGGTGGAGCCCTGGAGCGGCTGTCCCGTGTCCCCCGCGAGGTCCCTCTGTGTGCCGCCGCGGGCTGCCTGCTCCATGCCTCGCCCGGACGCTGAACTCAACACCCTTCTGGCCGACCCTCCCGGGCGCTCCGTGACCAGCTCATGGGCAAAGCCGGACACCGCGCGGTGTCTGCGGTTCCCTCCAGCGTTTCTGCGTGGGGGACCCAGCAAGCCCGGGGGGCCCGACCACTGGGAAAAACGCTGAGCTGTGGGCGACTGTCTGCACCTGGAGCCCCAAACCAATGTGATCCTGACGACACCGGCCCAGGGCTCAGAAATCGCCTCCAGACCTCATCTGAGTCCCACAGTGCAGCGGCCGCCCTGGCCAGCAGCCGTGGCTAACGGGGCCGAAGCAGGACTTAACGATTTACACCATCTCAACAGTGACCACTGACACCCGAGGAGGACACCAGACGTCTGCCTCCAGAGGAAGGCGCACTCGCCATTTTGCCAAAAGCTGAGGCCAGAATTCCGGCAAACACTCAGATTCAGCACCAACTGGAAAAAACAGAGCAAATCAAAACAGGGCATTCCCCAGGACAGACGAGCACGCCAAGCAACACCACGGGGGCAGCTGTGGGAATCCAGCCCGGGTGGGGGGCCTGATGGCTCACGGTCCCGCGATTCCAAACACAAGTCCCCAGTTTGAAAGACCCGCATCGCGTATGTCGGTGCGGTAACAACGGGACGGCGGGGCCGCACGCTGAGACAGCCTGGGCGGGGGGGGGGGGGGAAGTGCCCCCGAGTCAGGGGGCCCTGTTCTGAGTGTTGCCCACGGTTTTTGGCAGTAGGAAGCGGAGCGTGGTTGTCACGGACGAGGCGAAGCGCACGACCTCGGCCGCTGTGGTCGTCTGGGCCGGGGGCTGCCGTGGCTCACTCTGCTTCTCGTTTTCCTAGAGTTTCAGTGTCTACGGCCGAGAACGTTACTTGGAGAGCTGGAAACACAACCCGGTCTCCAAGGCCCAGCTTCCTCCTGCTCCTCGCCGGCCCGGTGAGGTGCCCAGTCTGGAAAGCGCCTAGAGCCACGGCGCCCGGCGGCCCTCCTGGGATTCCCTGGGATGCCACGGCCACGGGGTCTGGAAACTGTGTGCACAGTCGGCCGGTTCCAGGAACCTCAGGG